ATGCACTGGGTCAGGGATTCACAGCCACTGTTGGTAGTGGGAACGAGGCCACATCTGATGTGCAAGTGCCCGGCTCCCCCTGGCAGCACCAACCCGGGTGCCCTCTAATCTTTTCCACCCCGGCGCGGAATACACGTTGTTATACGCACTGAAGCGCATGCCAATGTGCACCACCCGTAGCAACAAAAACCTAGCGGTGGGCACTCTGCCAATCAGCTGGGGGGCAGTGGATCTCTCCCCAGTGGCCCCCCGAGAACCCCGCTTACAGGGAACACTGGCGCCAACCCGTCTGGCTGCAAACAAGCACCTCAAGGAAGTACGTGGGGTGCATTTCGTGTCTTTACAGTGCACATTAACAGCTGGAAGCGGGAGAACTAGTGCCGTGTGCCCAGTGTAGGAATCTCAGTGCTAGGTACAAGGGTTGAGCCCTCCTGGCTCGCTGCACTTGTGACCCATGTTAAATGTGAGCCTGATGCTTTATATGCGGCTGGCTCATGCCAGACCCCCTGAGCTATGTGCAACGCTCCCTCTAATCTTTTCCATCCACGGGCAGAGGTTTTTTTCCATCCATGTGTGGAATAATTGTAATGTGCACTGAGGCATGTGCAAATGTGCACCACCCACAGAACCAAAACCCCTCTCTCAGGGCGCTCTGCTAATCGGCTGGCTGGCATTGGTCGCTCTCCTGAGCACCACACAAGCGCTCAGCTTCCAGGGTACACTGGCCATGTGTCGGCCACACCGCACTGCTCAGGGCTCTGGTGCTGCAGAAAGCGCTTGGCAGTGCAGACCAAGTAAAGCAAATAGAGGCTGGCAAAACAAAGTGCCATCTGTTGCAGAACCGGGACTAGCACATGGCATGAGGGCCACCTAGCGGCAGGGTGTGCAAGCAGCACCTACAGGCAGCAAAGCCAGGAGCTGGGCATAAACAAGTACCCCTGGAGCCAGCCACGCTGTCTTGCCAGAATTTGCCGCTGCACCCCATGAAATACATCGCTCAGAGGCATCGTGGCCAATGCTCCCTGTAACGGGGCAGATTGTGCTCAGGAGAGATTCCAATGCCGCCTAGCTGATTAGCAGAGCACCCGGAGTTAGGGGGTTGGGTTTTTTTCAATTCTACTGGTGGTGCACATCCGCACATCCCTTGGTGCACACGAAAAAATTATTATTCCGCACATGGATGGAAAAGATTAGAGGGAACATTGATCACAGGCCCGCTCATTCCTGGGCGTGACGACTAGGAACGTGGAATTGTAACCGTCTTTCTGATCCAGGAGGCTCAGTCCCCTGCCCCAGTCCCAGCTGTGAGGCCCAGTAAGAGTTGCATCCTTCCGGTAGCACCCAGGGAGGGCCCAGCCCCGGACCAGGCATGGGCCGTGCTAGGTTGGATGGACGCAGCCTGCAGGGCCAGGCTTATGGGGCACCCTGTGGCTGGGCTTGCCCGTTTGGCACACGCCTCTGAGCTAAGATGGTGCCTTTGCAGTCCCCTGCCCCAGTCCCAGCTGTGAGGCCCAGTAAGAGTTGCATCCTTCCGGTAGCACCCAGGGAGGGCCCAGCCCCGGACCAGGCATGGGCCGTGCTAGGTTGGATGGACGCAGCCTGCAGGGCCAGGCTTATGGGGCACCCTGTGGCTGGGCTTGCCCGTTTGGCACACGCCTCTGAGCTAAGATGGTGCCTTTGCGCATCCTGCCCCTCCCCCCCCCCATTAGCTCCTTCCCTCCACCTCTGGGCTGGCTGCTCTTCCCTGCTCATTGGCCACTGTAGCTCTGTTCCTCTAACACCCAGCAGGGCAGAGTTGAGTGATGGGTTCTAAGGATGGGGGGGGTCCCTCCAGCCATTCACCGGGGGCTAGGCTGGCATTGCCTCCCCCGCTGCCAGACAAGGCTGACACCAGGCTGTGGGCCTGCCAAAGATCGGGGACAGCTGCCCCGCACCCAGCCCTCCGGGCGCCCGTCCTCCAACTGCAGCGCAGGCGGGTGGAGCTCCGAGGGGAACCCCGGCTCCCCGTGCTTTGCAGAGGCTGCCTTGTCCCCCTCTGCCAATCCAAGGCAGTGGACTTCAAGCGGGGGAGCAGGCAGCATTGCCTTTCCCTGGGCACTCCCAGCCAAGTGCAGGCGGGGTGCCAGTGGCAGAGCTGAGGGGCGGGGGCTGGCTCTGCAGTGACTTGGTCTGTGTCCTCCCCTCCCCTCCCTCTCTCCTCCCCCTGGTACACCCAGTCCCGGGCCTTTCACATGGCGCCCGTCACTTTCCCCTCCCCGACCGTCATCAGACGGTAGCCTGATCCGGAGAGGTGCGGGCCAGCGATCCATCCGTGATGAAAGACTGGGCCAGGAGCAGCTCGCTGCTGCCCACTAGTGCCAGGAGCTGGCACTTCCCACGTGCAGGCTTTTGGGGCTGCGACCCGCCCTTTCGCACATTTGCTGGGCTAACTCACCAGCTTCTCTCCCCCGGCTCAGAAGTGGCTGAACGCTGCTCCGGCCAGAAGAGACAGTCTGCCGAATGTACGACAGCAATGAGCAGCCTGTGGCCCGGGCGGGTTCTACGCGGGGCCCACGGGACATTTTGTTACCGTTGCTCACGTGCAGGGTTGCCTGATTCAGCTGGTTTCCAGCCGTGTCGGTTTTTTCCTACCAGTGTTACTCAAGTGACGTGCCCGTAAAGCCAGAGCCAGGCAGGAAGGTGCGCGCCGATTGCACACAACAGTGAGCGTGAGAGCCAGGCTCTGCAGCCAATCCTAGTGCTGCAACAGGGTCATCGGCACCTCCCGCACATTTGAGGGATGCCAGCGCCGTGAGCAAAATGGTCCCGGCCCGGGAGACCGTCTTGGTGATGACAGTCTTGCAGCCCATGGAGATGGAGCGTCTCTCATGCGGCCCACTCACCAGTCTCGGTTGAAGATGTGCATCATACATCACAACCTCTAGAGTCCTCGCAGGCTGTCGTTCAGCGTGCCTGCTGCAAGGTCAGGACCACTACGGGTATGTCTAGACTGCAGGCTTCTTTCGGAAGAAGCTTTTCTGGAAGAGAGAACTTCTTCTGAAAGAGAGTCCACACGGCCAAAGCGCGTCGAAAAGGCGATGTGCTTTTTCGAAAGATAGCGTCCACACTGAATGGATGTTATCTCGCATTTAAGCGGATTGCTACGGACAGAGCAGCCAGCCACGCACCTGTGCTTTGTCCTCTTTCCGCTTCTTGTGACGGAACTCCCTCTTCCCTGTCCATACACGCCTTTTTCCAAGAGTTCTTTTGGAAAAGGCGTTCTTCCTCGTAGAATGAGGTTTACCAATGTCGGAAAACCCCTCTGTTTGTTCAATTTTCTTTTGGAAGAATGCGTTTGCATTGTGGATGTAAGTGAAGTTTTTTTGGAAAAACAGCCGTTAAAAAACAAACAAAAAAAACCCCAAACCCTGCAGTCTAGATGCACCCTAGGTGGTGTATTGCAGATTCACTCCGTCTGCTGACCCAAGCCAGCTGCTGTGGAAGTAGCAGTGGCACTTACCTCGGCTTTGCCTGGAGAGGCGACACACAACTGGGAAAAGGCGTTTTGGTCTTGCCATTGGGCGAGTGCTCAGGCGGTTATTAAAGGTAAGCGGCCAAGAATATGTTGAAGAGATCAGTGCCGTTTTGCTCCTGTACGCCCACTTTCCTTTTTCAAAACTGGCATGTCCAGGCTGGTCTTCTCATGAAAACCTCTAGCTCCCATGGCTTGTGAATTCCATCACGGAAAGGGCAGGGCTGTCCCTTCACTCAGGTAAAGGCAGCAGTGTGGGCGCACAGCAGGGGTTTCTTGCGCGAGAAAGCCCCATGGCTAAAATGGCCATCGGAGCTTTTTTGCGCAAGTGTCCACACTGCCATGGATGCTCTTGCACAAAAGCACATGGCCGTGTGGACGTGTTCTTGTGCAAGGGTTCTTCTGCAAGAACCCGCCAGCATAGACATAGCCAGGGTGTGCTTGGCTGCTATGCTTCAGTAGCAAAGCTCCCCTTTAGCAAAGCTGCACTTTGTAGCTCTGTAGTAAAAGCATCACCCCATGTCCTCCCAAGACAACCAAGCTATACACATGACAACAATGTTGTTGCTACAGGTGTCCACACTAGGGGCTTATGCCAGCACAGATCCATCAATCAGGGATCATTTCTCCAGACCAATGTTCCCACTAATCCTTTCCATCCATGTGCAGATTTTTCCATTCATGTGCAGAATATTTTTTTCAAGTGCACCTAGGCACATGTGAATGTGCACCACTGGTAGAAGCAGAAAATCTCATTGTGGGAACTCCGCTAATCAGCTGGGCAGCATTTGAATTTCTCCTGAGTGGTCGCACAAGCACACAGCTTACAGGGAACACTGCAGACCAGCTTGTCTTGTGGCTGGCAGAAAAACAAAATGGCCACCGGCAAAAAAGCCTCTTCTTAAAGGGGCCATGCTGATTTTTTATTAAAAAAATAATAATTTTTTTTTTTGCTTAGTAACTGCTGTCAGGTTTTTTTTTTTTTGTTCTCAATAATTTTTTTCTCCCCCCCCCCCCCTTTTTTTCCCCTCAACGGAATTTTTTTCCCCAGTGGTTTTTTTTGGGGGGGTGGGAGGAGTGTTTGGCATTTTTGGTTAAACCATCTGGCAACCCTAACCACAAGGAGTATTTGGGTTTCAGCGAAACCACAGTAAGATTCTCAAACTGTAAGTGTCCACCCAAAGGGCCTTGAGTATCAGGGCCTTGCCGCTTTCACTCAGTCTCCTCCTGTAGGCAAGGCCTTAGACTCGAGCACTCCCAACCAACAAGCAGCTTTGGAACACGATCCCATTGATCTATCCATTCCTCACTGACCCCACAGCCTGATCCCTCCCTACATCCTCCCCGCCCACAGAAAAACAACATTTGCACCTGTCAAGAGCAAAGGTTCAGAATCACTTGTTTCAACAGAGATATCCTCTAAGTATAGGCAGGGAGGGGAAGACTTTGTTGTTTGATCCTGCTCCCCAAACAAACACACAAACAGTTGTTGGGAGTACAAAAATATGTTTTTTTTCCTTTTAATTATATCAGTTATCAAAGAAAAAAAGCAGTGGTAACAAAAATACAAAGCTCTGAGGTTGTTTGTGGTTTTTTTCAGGTTTTTTTGTAATACAAGCTGAGCAGCTGTGTGATTTAATTGAGCTTCTGCTCTGAGTCTCTGCTGGCAGAGTATGAGTACGCTTTTCCCAGGACCAGCCGGTCACGCAGCAGCTTGAAGAAGGCGTAATAATTGCTGAAGAGGATCAGAGCCAGTGAGATGGTCTGGTGCCACTTCTCTGACGAGATCAGGGAGTAGAGCTGGTAGAAGATGACGGCTCCTTCCAGCAGAATTAAAATGTTCAAGATCCTCAAGGGTTTGCTGAAAAAGAACTGGAGGATAAAGAGCCAGGGTAAGGAGACGCATGGAAGTTAGTTCTGCCTTGAGCATGCTACAGAAAATATGGGACACACCACAAATGGATGCCCAAGGAGCTAACACACACAAAGGCCTGGCTGCACTAGACCAGGCAGGTCAGCTTCGGGTACGCCACCCAGCAACGCAAAATGCACAACCGAGTCTAGCCGAGCCACCGCAGCATCTACACTGCGGGAGACCAAGGAGAGCATGTGCTCCCGTCAGCTTCCCTTACTCCTCACAGAATGAGATGTACAGGCGACCGGTGGGGGCTGCCCTCAGCAGCTGATGGGGGGAGCAGGAGGGTGTCTACACTATACCCGCTAAATCGAACACTAGAAGATCGACCTCCGGAGGGTCAATCTTCTCTGTAGTGTCGACCTGCCATAAGATTTTGCCTCTAGCAGCACACTCGCTTCTCACCCACGATGAAAAAAACGTTGGTGATCTGATCTCCGGGACACAGGCACAGAGGTCCTTCCCCGAAAGCCCCCCCCCCCCATTAGTGCTCAGGATAGGAACAGAGAAAGCACAGGACTAACACTCAGACCACGGGCTATCCTGGCTCTGTCACTCCCCTGCTGCGTGACTCCTTCTCGCAGGGCTTGCTTGGCTTCCAGCTTTGTCTCTCTTGTCTGTTTAGTCCCTGAGGTCTTTGGGGCAGGGACTGTCTGCGTGCGCAGCGCCCCAGACAAGGGGGCCCTGGCCCTGTTGTGCAAAGAATCACTCATAAAGGAGGAGGAACACCACCAGCTTACATGAAAGCGGAAGTGTGAGACATCAGATGGCACAGCCACGTTGTAATGGCCCACGGCTTTGTACACGTTCTTGCTGTGTTTCACCAGCACCCCCTGGGGCCACATGCATTCTTCGGTCCACCTGCAAGAGAAACCGGCTCCTGTAGTCGCCACCTCCAGAACAACAGGATCAGGCACAGGGAAGGTGGCAGTGGCTCTGAACAGTGTCTCCAGAGAAGTCGGGGGGGGGGGGGGGGGGGGAGGTGTACAGAAATGCTGCCACCCACAGTTCTAACCCTTGAGTCCGACACTAACGACTCTTGTAACCATTTGCTAAGACACTGAGGCGCGGTGATTTGCGAGGGCAGACTGTGGCTTGTTGCATCAGCGTTAATAGCTACTTTTCACCAACACATCAGAGGTTTAAATTATTAATTATAAATGGAGATATCCCTATCTCCTAGAAGGAGAAGGGACCTTGAGAGGTCATTCAGTCCAGTCTGCTGCCCTCACAGCAGGACCAAGAACCATCCCTGACAGATTTGCCCCAGATCCCTAAATGGCCCTCTCAAGAACTGAACTCACAACCTTGGGTTCAGGAGGCCAATGCTCAAACAACTGAGCTCTCTCTCTCCCCTGGCCATAGATGGGGTACATCAGACCCAGACAGTGTCAGGCTGATTAGCAGCCACTTTGGAGCAAGTCTGGTTTCATTATTCCTGATGCTGACCTGGGATCTCTCCCGTCCCCCGCAGGAATAGAAGCCTGGGAGAAGAACGCCCCGCCCCCACACACAAGAGAGAACAAACCCGTGCTAGCCAGTGGGAGCGGGTTCCTTACTGATGCTGTAGCACATTGGAGCACAGGGCTGGGTCGACTTTCTGCCAGCAGCCCAGGTGCGCTGCAGCTTTGTGGAGGAGGTCGCAGTAACGGGCAGGCAAGAGATGCTGCATCAGAATCACCGAGGTGCTGATGGACACCAGCAGGAACAGCTCGCACGACCACCGTTTGTCGTAGTACTGAGTGTTCTGTCGGGAGCACGAACACAACGGGACAAGGCGTTAGGACACCCTGGCCCCACAGAGCAGTGTTGCAAGGCGGGAACCAGCCCCGTTTGCTGCAGCAATTACAGCTGCTTGGGAAACCAGAGCAGGGCCGGAGCTGTTCCAGCCCTACAGTCAGCAGTAAGAAAAGGTGAAACTTCTGAGTACTTGGGATGAGAAATCGAGGCCCCGCTGGGTGAAAGGAACCTATTGGGCACAGTCACTTTCCTATGCTGGGACCCCACCATGACGACTCGCCTTTTGCTCAGAGAAGAGCGGGCCTGCGCTTTCAGAACAGGTGGCTCTGAGATCGAGTCCCATGGCTTGCAGAAGTGACAGGCATGAAGCCAGAGGCATGGTTCCGATTACAACAGGTCCCCGAAGTCTCCACTCTCTGCTCATCCAAATACATGTGCTATACTGTACAATGGACTATGAAAATCCAGTAAAATAGACACAGCAGAGTCCCCTCTATTACAATCTACCCTCTCCCTAAGGAGAGGTTGGAAAGAAAAGAATTTCAGTTTTATTCTGGTCTTGGATCTGCCCCCACAAGACATTAGAGAGCATGAAAAGCTGGCATGGCCACAACCAAAGAGAAAATTCTGCAACTCTCTAGTAGGGATGTAATAGTGGAGTCGATTAACCGACAAACAAAAGCTTATCGGTTAATGCTATATAGACCACATGCAATTCCCTGCCCCCTCTCACCAGTACATTTTTAGTAGGCTGGTCAGCATGCTCATGCCGGGTCTGGGACCTACCCCTGTTGCAGCTCAGCATTTAAAGTATATTAGGAGCCAAGCGGGCAGACAGCTTGGCTCAGTTCCGGCTCACGCCAGGTCCGGTAGTTCAGACCCACCCTCAGAGAGGGGCTGCAGCCACCCCACGCTGCTGCCTCTGTATCAGAGGCAGCAGCACAGGGTGGCAGGTAGCCAGTCTGTGAGGGGAACTGGTTTTTAAATTGGCTTCTCTCATGGACCAGCTCCTGCCTGGCACCCCGCGCTGCTGCCCCTCTGATACAGAGGCAACAGTGTGGGGTGGCAGGGGGTTCCTCAGGAGTGGGCCAGAGAGCACTGGCTGCCAGCCCCGCCCCCGGGGACTATAGAATAGTTGAGTAACCGATAAGAATTCACGAGGTTAATCGAATATTCAATTAACCGATATTTAACATCCCTACTCTCTAGGGGAAAAACAGCTTCACCCGAATAGACAGAAGTTTGCATAACTCGAGATAATCACAGTGTTCGATAGCAGAAACACGCTGTAGGGTTCTGTATTTATTGTTACATTCATGCTTTTCTGTTTCTTTTAAGCATCACAACATTCAGACCTTTCTACTCCACAAAGCGAACCACATCACAGAAGAATTTGGAATTAAGCAAATCCATCTGAGACAGGTGCACGCTGATTTGTAGGAATCTGTGTGTAAACCAGACTCTCGACTTACTGCACCCACTTCCCATGCACCGGGTGAGAACTAACCTCGTGAGAGCCACCCCCGCCTCCCACAGACCAAGTGTCTACTTCTGCTAGTGACTCAAACCAACCTGCTTTGCTTGTCCCACCAGAGGAAGGAATTACAGAAGCGCCTGCCAGGGCAGCGAGCACACAAGGGTGTAAGGCACTCACCTTCACAAACCAGACAGGCACGAAGGCCACATAGTAGGCACTGAGCATGGAGCTCACCAGCACCTCTTTCATCCTCCAGTTAAAGTCCATCTTCAAGTACTCCACCTCACTGCGGATGAGGTCTGGGGAGAGGCAGCAGGCATGGGTGGGCATGGCCTCCATGCCGTATATGTGTTTGGTATGCTGCTTCCAGGTCTCTTTTAAAACGGTTAGATAGTCTTTACTCCTGGAGTTTACTTCCCCCGTCTCTTGAGGGCCAATGTTAGCCACTTGGGAGAAGAGGGACGTCTTCCGAAGGTCACAGTTCAGCTGCAGAAAAGGAATGTACATGCCGAACCTGGAAAAGGACAGAGGCAAGAAGGCTGTAACAAACGGTCCTCTGTTCCCCCAGTCTGACTCCCATCACCATGAGAGTGGAAGTGTCAGCACCCAACTCTCTCTTCTGAATGGAGTTCAGGATCATGAGAGCCACTTCCAACCCAGCATCTAGAAAGGGACAACTAGAGGGACGCTGCCATATCACCCTGGCCCTGTATCTATTGGGAGCTAGACACACCACATACTTACTGTGCCCTGTTGCTTTGGGATGTGCATTGCCAAAGGTGCCCGGTCAATTTTAATACTGCTTGCTCCTGATTTAACTGGAGACACTTCCAGCAGTTAGGTTCTCCTCCCTGAAAGTTCCTCATCTTTTGCACCCATGTCTATCAGATAAAATCACACCATCTCGGCACTATCCACAGCAACACCGCGAGGGGTGCTCCTTATGTCTGCCCACATACAGGCTCACTGCCTCCTCTCATTTACCCTGGGTCACCTTAAAAACTGGCTGGGCACGGCCCCTTACTTTTCTGACATGCTCCTCATTTCATCGGCACAGAGTGATTTTGACGCCCGAAATCACATTTGCTTACAACACTTAGTCCGCCCCTGTTCACCATGGGGCAGGAAAACCTTTGCCAAACTGGGGAAGAAATACTGCTGCCTGCACAGAAATAGAACCAGATTCCTCAGACTTGGTCAAGTGGCAGGGAAAAGTGCTTGTTTCTGCCCATCTCGCTTAAGATAGATGGAGGAAGACAAAGAAGTGGGAAGCTCTGGGAACTGAGCAGCCACGGACAAGTTTGAGAAACGAATTATTTGTACAGCCTGAGAAATCTCAATGGGACAGTCGTTTTACAAAACCCTGGGCAATTAAATTGTGGTTAACTTAGCCTGGGCAGGTCATTCGAGTAGAATAGGAAAGACATATACTTAGCCCCCAAACAGCTAACCTAATATAGTTTTGATCTACTGATAGAGTGAAAGATTCGGTTCCAAGGAGATCAAGTGCTCATTTACTTTCAGGCTACATCTTGCCGGGACTGATTGATTGGAGAGGCGGGTTTAGAAGTTCAGTATCAAACCACAGCTGGGAGGAGAGCGGTACTTACGGGTAACACAGGAACAAGAGATTGAGGAACGAATAGGTTCTGAAGAGGTGAATTATTGATCGGCACAGGCTCCAGCCTGTCCCAGTGAGGACTGCAAACCGAGTCATCACAAGGAAAATGGAACGTGCCAGGGAGACTTTGCCACTTTGTGAAGCCTGCAGATGAGTAAGAGCAGAGCAGGAGTTAGACGATTTACCCTCCTTCCAGAAAGTAGACAGAAAAACTAGCAGCATAACTAGTGAACGAGTTCTACTCAGTCCAGCTAAGCCAGCACCACAAAGTAACAAAGGCGGCTCAATCGCTAGGTACCATGTGGCTGCAGCCAGCTGAGAGGGGCCTGGTTTAGATCAGAATCTGCATGTGGACTCTTCAAGATCAAGAAGCTGAACCTTGGGCACAGATTTCAAATACACTTCCCATTTTGCTGGGGGAGAGGAATGGCCCCTCTGGTTTTTTGTCTAGCCCTGGTGTGTCATCTGTCTACTACAGCCTTGAAGGCCACTCAAGTAAGGAGCAGCTTGCTTTCTTGAACACAGTGGGAAGGAAAAACCTCCAGTCTCCAATTTAACGCAGCAAGCCTCTGAAGTCAGCTAAATCCAACCAGCAATATAAACTGTTGCTTATTCAGCTTCTTCTTTGCAGGAAACAGGAATAACTGAAGAGGAAGGGAAGATGAAAGGAGCCAAACATCATTCTTTAGTAAAGGATAAAGTAGGGCTTCAAGTGATTATGAAATAGAATATTATTGATTTAAATATTTTGGATGTTTTCTACTTTTTTCAAATAAATTGATTTCAATTACAAGAGAGAATACAAAGGGTACAACGCTCACTTGATTTTTGATTACAAGTATTTGCCCTGTGAAACAAAATATTTTTCAATTCACCTAATACAAGTACTATAGTGCAGTCTCTTTATCATGAAAGCTGAACTTACAAGTGTCGAATTATGTACAAAAAGCTCTCAAAAATAAAACAATGTAACATTTTAGTGCTTGTAAGTCCATTCAGCCCTTGTTCACTTCTTGTTCAGTCAATCACTCGGACAAACCAGTTTGCTCACTTTTGCAGGAGACAATGCTGCCTGCTTCTTGTTTACAAGGTCACCTACAATGAACGAGAGAATGAGCGTTCTCATGGCACCGCTGTAGTTGTTGTTGCAAGATATTTACATGTCAGTTGTGCTAAACATTCATATGCCCAAACATTCATACACCATTCCAAAGGATGTGTATCCACGCTGATGACAGGTTCTGCTTGATAACAAGCCAAAGCAGTGTGGACTGATGTATGTTCATTTTATCTGAGTCAGATGCCACCAGCAGAAAGCTGATTTTCTTTTCTGGTTGGTCAGGTACTGTAGTTTCCACATCGGAGATGTTCTTTTAACATTTCTGAAAGCATGTTCCACACCTCATCCCTCAGCTTTTGGAAGGCACTTCAGACTCTTAAACCTTTGGTCAAGTTCTATAGTTATCTTTGGAAATCTCATGTTGGTATCTTGTGTCTTGTGAAATCTGCAGTGAAGTGTTCTTAAAATGAACAAAATGTGCTGGGTCACCATCTGAGATTGCTATAATATGGAATATATGGTAGAACGTGGGTAACACAGAGCAGGACACGTACTATTCTCCCCCAAGAAGTTCAGTCACAAATTTAATTAATGCATTATTTTTTAATGAGCATGTCATCAGCATGGAGGCATGTCCTCTGGAATGCTGGTCAAAGCATGAAGAGTCATACAAATGTTTAGCATCTCTGGCACGTAAATACCTTGCAGTTCCAGCTACAGAAGTGCCATGAAAATGCCTGTTCTCACTTTCTCATGACATTGTAAATAAAAAGAGGTCAGCGTTATCATCTGTAAATGTAAACAAACTTGTTTATCTTAGCGACTAGCTGAACAAGAAGTAGGACTGAGTGGACTTGTAGGTGCTGAAGTTTTAAATTTTGTTTTGTTTTTTTGAATGCAGTTATGTAACAAAATCTACAGTTGAAGGCTGCACTTTCACAACAAAGATTGTTCTACAGTACTTGTACGAGGTGAACTGAAAAATACTGTATTTTAAATCATTTTTACAGTGCAAATATTTGTAATAAAAATATACACTGATTTCAATTACAACACAGAAAAATATATATATCAAAATGTAGAAAAACCATCCTAAATATTTAATAGTTTTTCAATTGGTATTCTATTGTTTAACAGTGCAATTAAATCCAATTAAGCATGATTAATTTTTGAGTTGTGATTGACAGCCCTAGGTTAAACCAACCTACTACAGTCCAAAACACCACCAGAAATTCAGTAACCAAATATACCTAAATATAGTGAAACTCATATGAGTAATGGATTGAGACATCCCTATAAATCAGTTTTCCAATAGGAAACCACAACCTAATTGCAGTCAGTTCAAAACCCTTCAGAAGAGGGAAGGAAAAAAAGCAGTTTATAAGGGAGTCGGAACACTCGATTTTACATTCCGCTTCCAGTACATCTAAACTACACCCTATATCAGTGTTTCTTAAACTTTTTGAGACTACGGAACAACAAACAATATTTTTTTATGCAGAACACCTAAGAAAATTTTCTTTAAAAAAAAAAAACAAAAACAAAGAAGAGGTCGTGGTACACCTGTGAGTTGTTCACGGAACACCAGTGTTCCGCGGAACATAGTTTAAGAAACACTGCCCTATATTCAAGCTCCAATAGCATTGCAGGAAGTACTATCTATCATCTGGTTTTTACTTTTAAATTTATCATTCCATTCCAAGAATCTTTTACACCTGGTTGTCAGCACAGCCCTTTGAAAACCTACACCACTCAAAGGGCTTAGAGTACCCACAGATCTCTCTTATTGTGGTTTTACTGATGGCTCTAGAGCAATAACAGCTAGAGCACACTGTGTTGTACTCCATATTCTTTATGAAAATATGCTTATGATATGGATATGACATAACAGACGTACCTTATGCAAGATGGCTCATGTAAGATATCACTGGAAAGGTTGTGATTTATTGAATGTGATTATCTAATTTGTATACCTGTATCATGTCTGTATCTAAAGTTAGAAATACGGATCACATATTTGTATTTCAAATGTGTTATTTGAGGTGTTACCCATAAGTAACCCTTTGGGTACAACAAAAGAAAAATGCCAGTGTTTTTCCACTGCGAGACTAAAGGATTCCCACCATACATAAGAACTACATAAAGCCAGGGAGGGATATCATCAGGGTTTTCCTCTGCCACCCTGCCCAAAGAGAGTCTGAAAACACCTAGAAGCAAGAACTGAAGTGGGGCAGAAGAGCTGATCCCAGAATGGAAGGGCAACTAGCTCATGAGTGATAATACTTGAAATCTCAAACTGAAGGCCAGCGCAGCTGCCTTTCAAGACGGTCTGTGATGGGCCTGTGACAACATTTAGGGTGAGGAATTACTATTTGTAGCTAATTTCTTCAGTGAATCAAGCGCAAGTTTGTGCTAGTTGTTTTATGTGCTTAATAATCTGCTTTGTTCTGTTTGCTATCTCTTGAACCACTTAAAATCTGTTCTTTAATAAAATTGGTTTTGTTAATTATTAAGCCCAGTTCATGTAATTTCTAGCTGTGGGCAAGAAGTAGTGCATACCTCTCTTCATACAGAGGAAGAGGGTGAAATTGTATGAGCTTGTGCTGTGCGGATATTTCTATTAAACAGAATTAGTTTGGATTCACCTCCCAAAAGGGGTGTGCACATCTGCTCTGGGTGATTCCTTTCACACAGAGCTGACTTCAGTCTATGTCGGCAGCTGGGTGTGGCCCTACCTGTGTGTGCTGCAAGAGGCCGGAAAACCTAATTCAGCAAAACAGGGAAAGGAAATTCAGGCTGGTGGAGCAGGAGAGGCTGAATGAAATGCCAGTACATCAGGTGGCACCACCAAATGGGGTGTGCCCCCATCACAATGGGAGTAGGCGGCACAGTTAACAAGGCTGGCGTTTTAGCTTGATAAGGTTCTATATTGAGTTGAAAGACACTTCTGTGCTTTCTTTTACCTAACGCACCCACAATATAGCAAGGCAAACACAGATGCTACTCAGGGAAGGCTGGGAAGGAGAAAACAGTTTTGAGCTCGGGCTGTGGCTTTACCTCCTTCACAATGGCACCGATCAGCCTGCGCGCTAAGACGATTGTCGTCACCGTCAGCACGTTGAAGTCAATGAGATGAAAGTTCTGCAATGACAAAAAGGAAACTCTCCCATTTTGCAACAGGTAGCAGAACAGCCTGAGGGTGGTGGGAAAGAGACCCACGCTACTCCGACCTCTCTCCTGGATTATCAGGAGAATGCCCAGGGGGCACGGTGCCAGGATGTCCACACTTTGCTCAAATGAGAGTCACCTGACAATTTACCAAGGGCCTGAGACACCTCGTTTGCATGAAGTGGGGATGATTATAGCCACCTTAGTATTTAACAAAAAGGTGCAGCCTATAGAGACTAAGTCCTAGGATGCAATGAGGTCAGGCTACTCAAAGACGGAACAGCGCCTGCTTGGACCCATAGTTGCAATAAGCCATATTTTTGTATTATGGTTCAAGGCAGCTACAGGCCACAGTGCAGAACACAGCGCATGATGCATCTGAAAGGATGGGAGAGCTCCACACCCCAGCCCAGAATAATACTATTAGCCAGGAGAAGCTACAGCTTGTTCCTTTTGGGAAAGAGGTTTCTCTTAACATTTTAGATCTCCTTTTCTGCTCCTCTCCCCTGCTGTATGGACACGCAGTCTCTCCAGTCCACCAAGGACTGAAATTAAGAGGATCAACTTTATTCAGAGAAGGAAAGTCAGTGTTGGGCTGGAATCCCAAATCTCATGATTCTTAACATTACAAATAAATTCAACATAAAAACTGGCAGGAGCCAGGGTGCTTGTACATTCCTTTTTTTCTCTAGGTCTGTTCTACAGTAGAACCTCAAAGATACAAAGAGTTATGGACCGACTGGTCAACCAGACAGCATGTGAAACTGGAAGTAACCGTTCAGCCAGAGCAGGAGCAGCATTGGGGTCTACGCTCCTTTCCTCTACACAGTAGGGCTGCATCTAGACTGGCAAGTTTGTCCTCAAAAGTAGCCGCTTTTGCACAAAAACTTGCCAGCTGTCTACACTGGCTGCTTGATTTTGTGCAAAAGCACTGACGTTCTACTGTCCAAAATCAGTGATTCTTGCACAAATGCTTTGACGTTCCCGTTCGGGCAAAAGCCCTTTTCCGGAAATACTTTTGTGCAAGAGGGCCAGTGTAGTCAGCTAAAAACTGTTTTGCACAAAAAAGCCTCGATGGCAAAAATGGCGATTGGGGCTTTCTTGCGCAAAACCGCGTCTAGATTGGCATGGACGCTTTTCCGCAAAAAGTGCTGTTGCGGAAAAGTGTCCGTGCCAATCTAGACGCTCTTTTCCGCAAATGCTTTTAACGGAATAACTTTACCATTAAAAGCATTGCGGAAAATCATGCCAGTCTAGACGTAGCCTAAGTGCTAGTTTCACTCTGTTCCTGCCCCTGGCCAGGAAGAGAAGGGGGTGCTGTTTTCCCACATCCCTCTTCCACTCCCACCCAGGCTGGAAGGAGGACAAGCTTGCCCAGGTAAGAAGCTGCCTCAGGAACCTGGCCCAAAGCGTGAACTGCTGGAAGTGGAGGTGTGTTTTGTTTAGTGTTTTGGACAACCTCTTTTCCTGGGCCGTCTGTAACTGTGAGGTTCTACTGTGTCACTTTCTAGTGAATCAATACATAGCCCTATAGTCCCTACCAGGATAGGATGCTGGGCTGTTTTGCACAACACTGCGAAAAAGCCACTGTCACGAGAGCTGGGCTAGACTGGGTGTTGGCTCTTAGACTGATGTGCTGTCCGAATAGGGCATCTACCCAGACGCTGTTGAAAAGTAGGAGGCACTGAGATACCGTTGGGAAGGGAATGGGTTTTGGGTGCTCAGCAATCTGGAGAGCAACCACACATATAGGAGTGTGACTGCAGGTACCTGCCGAGGCCAGGGATCTATGAGAGTACAGCAGCACATACCCAGGTACCTACCAGTGAGGTGTGTGATGGAGGATGGGAGGGTGGGTACCACCACACAGTTTTGTAGATATTGATGTAGTGGACAAATAGAGCGATGAGATGGCAGAAGAAGAGCTGAAGTTCAAACAAGATACTCCGCTCCACAGGCAGCTCTGGGATCTTACAGTGCCGGAGGGGAACCACTGTCTGGGTTGCCAGAGGAGGGCAGGAGAGGCCTACCCACCAATTACTCTCCAGAGATATGCTGGGGAAAAAACAATGCCCATCCCGAGCCCCCACACTCACACTGCCGAGGATGGACGGGTCTATGCTAAGTGGAAAGTCCAACCTCAAAGCTACCCGCAGAGGCTGCAAAGAACAGGTACAACCAATACGCAGAAGATACCTCTTGCACGCAGAGGCAAGACAACATACAGAAATAGTGTTGCGGGCTCAGTAGGGATGTGATTGTTTAACCAGTTTACTGGTGGGGTTGGAGGAGCCCCCCAAGGCCCGCTGCAGGTGGGGAGCTGCTTTAACCCCAACTGTTAACCAGCTGGAGCAGCCCCCATTCACAGCACGGGTGCTGCTCCAGCGCAGCCTGGCTAGAACACACACACGCACCTCTGTTTAATTGGTTAACCATAACATCTGGCTGGTTAACCAATTAAACAGGCTTTTACATCTCTAACGCTCAGGATATGCTGATACCCTTTTGCCTGGTCTAGGCATGGCATCTGGTTTGTATAGCAACCGCAATTTTTGAAATCAGGTCTGCCTGCAGCACCAGGACATCTGATTCCTCCACTTTGAGCAAGCTCTGAGAGCAGTGCTTGTACACATGCAGCCCTACAGGGACAACTGTTATAGTTAGCTGCAAGTATTTCTGCCTCATGCTGCTTATTTACATTGTGTCATGGGTATGCAGATTCGGTGCCATAAAATAAAGAGATTTCTTATTCTCCCAGAGAGTCTCTTATGCCACAGGTCTAATTCCAGCTATGGACCACTCACTCAAAGAGAAGGGTATAAATGCAAGTCAAGCAAGGTGCATCCAGTGAATGATCCCTAAGCAATACTCAGTATTAGATCTTGGATTTCTAAAGGGGCTTCAGAGCATTAGATGCCAAACTCCCATTAAAAATCCCATCCCAGATCCACAAAAGTCACAGCTATAGTGACAGCAGAAAAGCTTCTGTCAAGAGAATGGAAAAAAAGAGAATCAATCCAAACTTCTTCAAAATGTAAGACTGTGAAGCCTGAAAGCCTTAAACACCCTGCATCGTGGCAACTCTGATGGTCAGAGCTTGTCCTCTTCAAGGAGCCAGCCAAAGGTGCTGGAGAACAGAGAGAGAGGTAGACACCAGATGACACGTTTGCTCAGAAAAGAGACAAAGCATGGAGACAGGACCGAGGGTGGTGACGGAGGCTACGCTGCTGCAAGCTGGTCAGTCTCCTGGTTTGGACCGAGGGGAGCCAGGGGCCACGTGCTACGGATCCCCACTCCTCACAATCGACTTTGCCAAACGTTCCTGCTTACTGTGCTAACAAGATCTGTTCTACGGTGTTTCCAATGACCCTTCTGTTTTACCTCGGCGGCTGAGTCACTGCTGACTGCAGAGATGTGATGGGTGGGGCACGTAAGGCTTCCCCAGGTGGACTCACTGTGGGGAGCTCATGTTGTGAACAGGGGTGCTAAACGCTGCGTAGTCAGACCCAGGCGGCACTGGAGCCCAGGAAACTTGCCCTGGTGAGAGTGTGCCCTAAGGGGGGAGACAATGCATTAGAGTCCTGACGGACTTCATTCCGAGCACGCCAGAGCATCGAGTCTGACTCCATGACAGTGTCTTGCCCAAACGAACTAGCCAGCTCTAACAACTCCAATGGAATTGCAGCAATGTGGGTGGCAGCACAGGCTGTCCTTGGCCATGCAGGACCTGGGGTGTTTACGCAGGACTGAGAGGTCCTGCCGTGACCTTACTGCTTTTGAGACTGGAGCTAGCTAGATCCACGCTGGCTCAGGTATGTCCACACATGCTGCATTCATACCTCTGATTGCAGTATAGATTAGGGATGTTAAATTAAGATTAATTGGCTAATCAAACCGTTGATGCAATTTGCATTGACTATTCGATTAGTTGATAAGGGCGCCTCTGCCTTTGAAGTGTAGCACCAGCCCCTCCCCCCCACTAGCCCCATGCTTCCTGCAGCGTTTCAAAGAGACAGCGCTGCATGGAGCCCGGGGTCAGCAGGGGAGTCTTTAGCTAACCCTGGGCTCCACTCAGTGCTGCTGCTTTGAAGTACCCCCCACCTTTGCTGCCTCTTTCTGATAGGGGAGGGGAGGGAGTGACTAGTTGACTTGTCTGTTGACTATCCGATAAGCATTTGCTTACTGGATAGTCAACTAGTCGTTCACATCCATAGTATAGATATACAGAGGCTCAGGTGTGTTACTGAATCGAAAACTTAACATTCACAGCATTAGCTCCCAAGTCCTCAAAGCCCCAAAACTCGCAGGATTGATTCAGCCCTTCAGCCTTTGGAACTCCTGTTGGAAACACCGCTTCTATCATACAGGTATCCAGGAGACAGAGACAGGAGGCCTCATAGGCTCTGTGTGGACACTAGATATCTAAGGGAACTTTTTATGAGTAAGATTCTCACCCTGCCAAGACTTTTCCCTGCTCATCACAGGGGCTTGCCCTTCATCTCCAAGGAGGTGTCCTGCACCTCAGGGCTGCTATATGTATATGGATTATAAAATGCTCTGAAGAACGGCTCTATAAATAATATGAAAGAAACATCTCAGCCGGGGGCCACAATCATGGAGTACATTAAGGGATATTCACCAGCAGGGTCAAGGATGTTCTAGCCAAGGGATTTATGACGTGCTCATCATGTGGTTATCTGAGTGCTGATTTTCCACCTCTTCCCCTCTCCTCCCCACACCTCTGTGCTTTCCCCACAGAAGTCAGGCTGAGAGCGAAAGCATATAATCCACGGCTGAGCTGTCACCATTCAACCAGTTTAGGATTTGTGAAAGAAAATCCATCTGCCCTAACGAACCACTGTCCCAGAAGTGCATCAACTGCCATGCACTGCTGGAAATGGTTGACTTAACAAGCAGGACTCTGGAGCCATTTTTTAGATAAAACTTTGTCTATAGCACTCCTCTCCCCAAGGATCTCCAAGTGCTTTAAAACACTTGTTGGGTAGCTAACCATCATGTGCCAAGCACTTGGGAGTCCTTGAGTGTATCACTACCCACATTTTCCCCTATTGCTATTTTGTGTTAAGGACAAAAAACATACTCCAGAGAAGTTGTCATGGATAACCAAGACCGTTGCAAGCTGACATCCATGTACCAAGAACAACAAAAAAAAACTGAACCACTGACAAAACGGCTACGGTAAGGGATGGGAAAACATGAACCAGCCTCAAGCTGCATGTTTCACGGAGGAGAAGCGGTCACAGTACATAAAGGAATACAAGAGATGCACATTTACCTGGTACGTGAGCGCACACCAGTGACCGATGAACTTGTGGAATGTCCAGTACCCCCAGGAGCCCCAGTTTCACAAAGAGGATTTCGGCAGTAAGATGTCCGGTTAGGGCCCCGCCTTCCCCCTGCCATAACAACAAAGGGTATGGAGGCTGCCCTGAGAGGTTGATCGCTCTTCACTGTTTAACTATTTCTTCAGTCCTTCCAACTGAAAAGGAAAGATTTATAACACACATGGATTTGGAGCAGAGTAGGCAGGTAACTTTCCTTCTCCTCTAGCACCTCAAAGCACCAAAGACTGTCACAGAACAGGTCGTGTGGGTGGGGGAGTGGCACTATATGTGAAAGAAAATTTAGAATCAAATGAAGTAAAAATTTTAAATGAATCAACATGTTCCATAGAATCGTTATGGATAATAATTCCCTGCTCTAATAAGAATATAACAGTAGAGATCTATTATCGACCCCCCGACCAGGACTGTAATCGTGACTATGAAATGCTAAGGGAGATTAGAGCGGCTATCAAAATAAAGAACTCAGTAATAGTGGGGGATTTCAACTATCCCCATATTGACTGGGTACATGTCCCCTCAGGACGAGATCCAGAGATAAAATTTCTTGATACCTTAAACGACTGCTTCTTGGAGCAGCTGGTACAGGAACCCACAAGGAGAGAGGCAATTCTCGATTTAGTCCTGAGAGGCACACAGGATCTGGTCCAAGAGGTAACTATAACAGGACCGCTTGGAAATAGTGACCATAATTTAATAACATTTAACATTCCTGTGGGGGGGAGGAACACCTCAGCAGCCCAATACTGTGGCATTTAATTAAAAAGGGGAACTATGCAAAAATGAGGAGGTGAGTTAAACAGAAATTAAAAGGTACAGTGACTAAAGTAAAATCCCTGCAAGCTGCACGGACACTTTTCAAAGACACTATAATAGAGGCCCAACTTAAATGTATACCCCAAATTAAAAAACATAGAAGAACTAAAAAAGAGCCACCACCGTAGCTTAACAACCATGTAAAAGAAGCGGTGAGAGATAAAAAGACATCTTTTAAAAAGTGGAAGTCAAATCCTAGTGAGGTAAATAGAAAGGAGCATAAACATTGCCAAATTAAGAGTAAAAATATAAGAAAAGCTAAAAAGGAGTTTGAAGAACAGCTAGCCAAAAACTCAAAAGGTAATAACAAAATGTTTTTAAATACATCAGTAACAGGAAGCCTGCTAAACAACCAGTGGGGCCCCTGGACGATCAAAATATAAAAGGAGCACTTAAAGACGATAAAGTCATTGCGGAGAAACTAAATGCATTCTTTGCTTCAGTCTTCACGGCTGAGGATGTTAGGGAGATTCCCAAACCTGACCCGACCTTTGTAGGTGACAAATCTGAGGACTTGTCACAGATTGAAGTGTCATTATAGGAGGTTTTGGAATTAATTGATGTTACTGTTAAGTTTAAGTCACCGGGACCAGATGGCATTCACCCAAGAGTTCTGAAACAACTCAAATGTGAAATTGCGAAACTATTAACTATGGTTTGTATCCTATCCTTTAAATCAGCTTCTGTATCCAATGACTGAAAGATAGCTAATGTAACGCCAATATTTAAAAAGGGCTCTACAGGTTATCCTGGCAGTTACAGACTGATAAGTCTAATATCAGTACAGGGCAAATTAGTTGAAACAATAGTAAAGAATAAAATTGTCAGACACATAGAACAACATAATTTGTTGGGCAAAAGTCAACATGGTTTCTGTAAAGGGAAATCACGTCTTACTAATCTATAGAGTTCTTTGAAGGGGTCAACAAACATGTGGACAAGGGGGATCCAGTAGATATAGTGTACTTAGATTTCCAGAAAGCCTTTGACAAGGTCCCTCACCAAAGGCTCTTACATAAATTAAGTTGTCATGGGATAAGAGGGAAGATCCTTTCATGGACTGTGAACTGGTTAAAAGACAGGAAACAAAAGGTAGGAATAAATGGTAAATTTTCAGAATGGAGAGGGGTAACTAGTGGTGCTCCCCAAGGGTCAGTCCTAGGACCAATCATATCCAACATATTCATAAATGATCTGGAAAAAGGGGTAAACAGTGAGGTGGCAAAGTTTGCAGATGATACTAAACTGCTCAAGGTAGTTAAGACCAAAGCAGACTGTGAAGAACTTCAAAAAGATCTCACCAAACTAAGTGACTGGGCAACAAAATGTCAAATGAAATGTAATGTGAATAAATGTAAAGTAATACACATTGGAAAAAATAACCCCAACTATAATATGATGGGGGCTAATTTAGCTACAACTAATCAGGAAAGATCTCTGAAGATGTCCATGCAGTGTGCAGCAGCAGTCAAACAAGCAAACAGGATGTTAGGAATCATTAAAAAAGGGATAGAGAATAAGACGGAGAATATCTTATTGCCCTTATATAAATCCATGATACGCCCACATCTAGAATACCATGTACAGATGTGGTCTCCTCATCTCAGAAAAGATATACTGGCATTATAAAAGGTTCAGAGAAGGGCAACTAAAATGATTAGGGGATTGGAACGGGTCCCATATGAGGAGAGATTAAAGAGACTGGGATTTTTCAGCTTGGAAAAGAGACTAAGGGGGGATATGATAGAGGTCTATAAAATCATGAGTGGTGTGGAGAAAGTGAATAAGGAAAAGTTATTTACTTGTTCCCACAAAATAAGAACTAGGGGCCACCAAATGAAACTAATGGGCAGCAGGTTTAAAACAAATAAAAGGAAGTTCTTTTTCACACAGTGCATAGTCAATCTGTGGAACTCCTTGCCTGAGGAGGTTGTGAAGGCTAGGACTATAACAGGGTTTAAAAGAGAACTAGATAAATTCACGGAGGTTAGGTCCATCAATGGCTATTAGCCAGTATGGGTAAGGAATGGTGACCTTATCCTGTTTGTCAGAGGGTGGAGATGGATGGCAGGAGAGAGATCACTTGATCATTACCTGTTTGATTCTCTCCCTCTGGGACACCTGGCATTGGCCACTGTTGGCAGACAAGGTACTGAGCTGGATGGACCTTTGGTCTGACCCAGTATGGCTATTCTTATGTTCACCCCTAGTGTGTTATACCTATTTTACAGATGGGGCAATGTAGAAAAGGGGTTCAGACCTGAAGAAGAGCTCAGTGTTGCTTGAAAGCTTGTCTCTTTCACCAAGAGAAGTAGGTGGCCCAATGAAAGATACTACTGCACCTATGACTCTCTCATATCTTGGGATTAATGTGACAACAACAATTCTGGAGAAAAAAAAAAAGATCCTCAGAGGTATTTGGGTTCTTTCATTGAAATGAATGGAAGTAATGTATCTAAATACTTCTGAGAATCTGGCCAGAAAAGGTCAAATGTCTTGCCCAAAGGTTACAACCACCTGCAAATATAACCCAGTTTTAATCACAGTTTTATGCCTTAACCACAAATCCATTCTTCCTCTTTTAAAGAGTCCTTGAAGAAGAAAAAAGTTGGGCTTCTGCCATTTTTGCTTCCTTCCGATGGGCAAAGACCGTAAACACTTGGCAGCAGGACTATCTGTATAGTCCATGACTGGGGCTCTGAGGTACCACCACGATCTAAATAATAATTTCAATCTTTCTTACAACTAAAAAATTTGCTTTTTTAGGCTGAAGTTTTAAATCGTGTCTTGGCTGGAACTAAGCATGTTAAATTGCGGTTACCCAGCTAATCATATAGTCGATACAAATTGTATCGACTATTAGTCAATAGGACCGCTCTGCAGGGCCATAGTGGGGGTAGCTCCAGGAGCCAGCTCGAGCAGGGAGTGAGCAGTCTTGGCTTGTGTTTGCTCTGAGAGCCACCCATGCTGCGACTTCACATTTAAAATGGAGAGGCGCAGCGTCCTTGCAAGCTGGGACTGCTTGGTCCCGGCTCGCACTAAGTCCAGCAGTCCCTGGTTACGGGGGACAGCTCCCTGCTGGGACCCCTGCACCGGGACTGCTTCACAGCAGCCTCTCCTATCCCCCCACTGCTGCCTCTGATAAGCACCCTGGAGACAGTGCTGGGGAAAACCAGCTTTTAAGGTGGCTCAGCTCAGCACCAGCTCACATTCCCGCCCCCCCCCACTGCCATTCATGGAGGCAGCAAGGGGGGGGCACAGGGATCATGGGACAAACAGGGACTCAAGCAATCCCCACTGGCATCATTTCCCCACTGTGCCTCTGCCTCCCCTGTGGAGACGGTGCTGAGGGAAACCTGCTTTTAAGCCCAGCTCCCCCAGCACCGGTTCCTGTCCCCCCCCACTCGTTGCTGCCCTGATACAGGCAGTGGGGTTAGGGGGGAAACGACTAGTCGCTTACATTCCTAGCTGGAAGATGCCTATGGAAGTAGTAAGGCGGCCACAACACATTTAATAAGAAAGCGCAAATTGAGCTTTTCTTGGGTCTTGATTGCTTAAAACGCTGTTGTGTTATTTATCTTGAATTCTCCCTTCACCCAATTCTGTTAATTGGGATAGAAATTAAGGCTCAACAGCCAAGTCCCACCGTAAGAACGGCCACAGTGGGTCAGCCCAAAGGTCCATCCAGCCCAGTGTCCTGTCGGCCGACAGTGGCCAGTGCCACCTGCCCCAGCAGGAAAGAAGAGAGCAGGAAACCATCAAGCGATCCGTCCCCTGTGGCCCTTTCCCCGCTTCTGGCGAACAAAAGGCGAGCGCGGGGGCGGACGATCATTTTCGGGACGTGACCACGGGCTGCACTTTTCCACGGGTGGAGGCTGGGGGCAGGAGGGAGCCGGGTAGCGGAGTGGGGCACAGAGGAGGGGGTGGGGTCCGCGG